GAGTGAGAATGACAGTATGATTCTCTCCTTAAAGAAAAATCTGGAAACTGAGGATTTGGATTTGGATTTTTACAATAGCTGTTTTATTCTGAATATAATTCACATTCAATAACATTTACCCCTTTAACTTGCACAATTCTATAGTTTTTGGTATATTCACAGAGTTGTGCAACCACCACCACTGTCTAATTTTAAAACATTTCATCATCCTGAAAGCAAACGTCACACCCTTAAACATTCATGCCCCAGCCCCTCTCCCCAGCCAGCCCTACATAAGCTAAAATTATTTTCTCTCTCTATAGATGACTTGTTCTGGAGATTTCACAGAAATGTGGTTTTATAATATGGGCTCTTTTATGACTAGCTTCTTTTACTTAAAATAATGTTTTCACTGTTCATTCACGTTGCAGCACGTACCAAAACGTCATTTTTTGTTGTTGAATAAGATCCTTGATAAGGCTGTACCACGTTTTGTTTACCAGTTTATCAATTGGTTTTTCCCACCTTTTTCCATTAGCAGTAACGCTGCTATGAGTATTTATATGCAAGGTGTGTTCATGTGGACATATATTTTCATTTCTTTTGAGTACGTGCCAAGGAATAGAACTGCAGGGTCATGTGATAAATGTTTATATGTTTAACTTATTGAGGAACTGTCAAATTGTTTTCCAAAGTAGCCTGCTCCATTGTACCCCAGTAGCAATGTGAAAGGATTCTAATTTCCTCACATCCTCCTCAATACTTGTTTTTCTCTCTCTTTAATCATGGCCATCCTAGAGGATGTGAAGCAGCATCTCACTGAGGCTTTGCCTTGCCCCTGATGATGTGTGGCTTCTTTTCACGTGCTTATAACCCATCTTTATGTCTTTGGAGACACGTCCATTCAAACTGCCCATTTTTAATTAGATTTTTGAAATTATATTGTTAAGAACTCTTTATATATTTTAGTTACAAGTAGCTCAGACATGATTTTCAAAAATTTTCTCTCATTCTGTGAGTTGTCTTTTCACTTTTTGTTGATGTCTGTTGAAGCACAAAGGTCTTAATCCGATGGTTCAATTCATGTGTTTGTTTTTTTTTTTAACTGCTTGTGCTTTTGATATTGTAGCTAAGAAATTGATACAAGGTCATGAAATTTTAAAGTTTCAGCTGTTAAATTTAGGTCTATGATTCATTTTGAATTAAGTTTTGCATATAATGTGATTTAGGGGTACCCTTGTTGAAAATGAATTGGCCATTCCTCTAAGGGTTTATTTCTGGATTCTTAATTCTATTCTATTGATAGAGCTATCCTTATACCAGTATTTGTTGTCTTGATCATGACAGATTTATAGCAGTTTTGAAATTTGGAAGTGTGAATTCTCCAACTTTGTTCTACTTTTTCATACTTGTGTTAGTTATTGTAAGTCCTTTGCCGTTAACTTTAGAAGCAGCTTGTCGATTTCTTTAAAAAATAGCTAGAGTTTTGTTAGGCATTGTCTTAATTCTGTAGATACTTCTGGGGAGAAAAGCCATGTTAGTAATATTGAGTCTTCCAATTCATGATCATCAGATATCTTTCTGTTTATTTGAATCTTTAATTTATGTCTACAGTATTTTATAGTTTTCAGTGTGCAAATCTCACACTTCTTTTGTTAAATTTATTTATAGCATTTTCGTATTTTTGCTACTGCACTGCTATTGTGTTGTACTGTTCATTGCTACTGTGCAATTGATCTTGGTAAACTGTAAGCTTTGTAACCTTGCTGAACTGGCTGATTAGTCCTAATTGTTCCTCCTCTCTTCTCTTCTCCTCTCCTCTCCTCCCTTCCTTTCTTTTTTGCAAATTCCTTAGAGTTTTCAATATATAGTTATATCATTTGCAAAAAGAGATGATATTATTTCTTCCTTTCTAATTTGAATTTATTTTCTTTCTTTTTCTCATTCACTTTCCCTGGCTAGAATCTCCAATATGATGTTGAATAGGAGTGGGGAAAGCAAATATTTAGTCTTATTCTGATCTCAGGGCAAAAGCGTTCTGTCTTTCACCATATGTAAATATGGTGTTATTATAATTGTGAGATATTTTTTGTAGATACTTTTTATCAGATTGAGGAAGTTCCCTTTCATTAGTTCAGTGAGTGATTTTATATGAAGGCGTACTAGATTTTGTCAAATGCTTTTTCAGCATCTACTGAGATGATCATATCATTTTGCCTTTTATAATATTATATGGTATATTATATTCATTGATTTTTGGATGTTAGACCAACTTTGTATTCCTGCAATAAATTCCATTTGGTCATGGTGTATAAGACTTTTTACATGTGGCTGGATTGAGTTTGCTAGTATTTTTATGAGAATTTTTTTGCATTTATATTCTTAAGAAGTATTTGTCTGTAATTTTCCTGTCTTGTGATGTAATATCTTTGTCTGATTTTGATGTCAGTAGCAGTTGCCTTATAGAATGAGTTGAGAAGTGTTCCTTCCTCTTCTACTTCTTGGAGGAGTTTGTGAATGACTGGCATTAATCTTGTAGTGTTCTTATTTTTATTTTTTACGGCTTCCTTTATAGTTTACCTCTTGCTATTATTAAGTTGCAGATGGGGCTTGTAAATGGGGGTAGGAAGGTGAGATTTGTACTGATAGGTCCCTCTAGGACAATTTCGCTCCAGTGGAAGTGTAGGATTCTAAATAAAACTGTCGAGTTTTCATTTTGCTGCTTTTTACTAAACAATGATGAATGTTCCACCACTGGAAGACAGGCTTAATTGCAGAAACAAACTCAAAGACTTTTATGTCTTAAATTCAGAACCATACTAAGAAGATGTTTCTTAGTGCTCTTTCTCCCAGGTAAGCTATGATGGTATCTCTGGTTCACTTACCTGTAACATATTAGTGCAAATTTGTCTAGAAACATTATTTAAAAGAAACGGTGAAGAAGTATTATATTGACCTTCTCATGAGTAACAGAGTCTGAGAACAAGGAGAGTTTGTTGAATCCCAGACATCACGTAAGATATTATGAATAATAAATATTTAGATTGTCTTCCAACATGCAAGGTAATTTCTGGTCATTAATCACTCTACCAACTCAGTGGGAAAAATTACCACTGAAGAAATAAAAGCAACAACTAATGTTTACTAAGTAATCACTAGTGCCAAACACTGTCTTTAATTCTTTATATACATGTATACTTTTTTTATTTTTCATAGCAATAATATGAGGTCATTGTGAATATTCTCTACTTTAGAGACGAGGAAACTGAGCAACAGAGAGCTAATCTAATTTGCCGGTGTCGTGCAGGTAGAAAACACTGGAGCCAGGATTTGACCTAGGTTATGGGACTCAGCCTGAACCAGAAGTTGGAGTGTATTATGTGTCTTTTAGAGCAGGGATTCAGATCACATATTCCAAGTTTGGTTTTATAAGTCATTTTTTCTCTCTTTTGATGAACAATAAAATTTGTGGCCAACCTTTAAGAAATTTGCATAAGAAGATAGCATAGGTTTAAGGGGGAAAAAAATGTCCAGAGAGGATTTACTGAGATGGTGCTAATGGCTTAAGATTAGACAAACTCTGCCAGGGTAATTTAATAGGCAAGTCAATAAAATAAATATTTAGCATTTATTGAGTGATTACTATGCTCCAGAGTAAGTGATTTACTTGTACTATTAATTAAATCTGCAAAATAACTCTCTAAAATAGTTATTATTATTATTATTATCTCCATTTGTAGCTAAAGCTCCAGAAGCAAAGATGTCCAAGTTCAATTAGTAATCAGTGGCATAACCCAGGTTTGAACACAGGCAGTCTTGCTCTAGAGCCTCTGTTTTTAACCATTCTGCTATGCAATTTCTGTACAGAAATAGAAACTTGAAATATGGTCACAACAATGCAGTCACCCTAAGAATACATTTATAGGTTACAATGGAGCATCACATTTTGTGGGCACGTAGAAATTGGATTCAGTTCTGTTGGAAAGAGCACCAAGCTGTCATCTGTAGGAGCAAAATGTCTTATGGCTAAAAGGAGGAGGAAGACTGGTCTGGAAATATGAGATAAGCTGAACCAAATACGGAAATTTAAAAAGAAAAAATAATTTTAAAAGGGAGGCTTTTTGCTTATACCTTAACAGAAGATAGGCATAGACTGATAGGTGGTGGTCTGCGCTCGGCAACTATGACTGGTCTTGAATAAGTTGTGGTTTGAGAGGTTTTGCTGCTGTACCTCAGGGTAAATGGGGATAGTTTGAAAGAGCAATTTTAGAAAATGACTTTGATAAACTTTATTAGTAGATACAGAGGTTGAATCAATAGTAGATTAATAAAAAGCTCAAATATAAGTGTTTCTAGTAGAGTAAGACAAATGTGGAAATTATCCGTAAAAATTTGACCACTTGGGAAAATATTTCTTATTTAGTGCTGAAATCACAGTAGTTTTCTTTTCCTTGTGGCAGTAAAATCAAGGGCCTAGGTTTATTCAGCACTTTTCTCCAGTTGTGCTGCATGGTGTTGTACCACCAATGTGAGGTTCGATATTTGGACCTCTGTGTTTGGGTGTGAAGAGAGTGGGCCCAGTGCTAATCAGTGAACTAAGTCACAGAACTAAGCGTGTCTGGGCCAGTTTTCCTCCAGACACGTGAATCTTCTTGTCTTCAGCCTTCAGGGACTTTAGAACTCCCCTCCTGGTGCAGCTGTGCTCACCTCTTGGTCACAAAGTTACTGTTGATGTCTTTCAGAGTTTGAGGCAATTCGCCACTTTGAAGGGATCATTCATATTATCAAAAGTTTACATATGTTTTCAATAAGATGATCATTAACTTGAAGTTTCTATGTTTTTTATGAAAAATAAAAATTATGTTCACATCAAAAGCAAGTAAACCAACAATGCCCAACCTCTCTACTTCCTATATGTGAACAAAGGTCAGTGAAAGTCAAATTTCAAGATACGGTAGCTTTTAAAAAATACATTTGGTCCATTTCCACTTCAAAGTAACCTGGTGGCTTCTTTTCTCAAGTCCTCACACAGGTAATCAGAAATACCAGGATGGTGTGACCAAGATCCCAACAGCCTGTATTACAGTGGAAGATGCAGAAATGATGTCAAGAATAGCTTCTCATGGGACCACCATTGTCGTTAACCTGAAGATGGGGGCAGTGAACTATCCTGATACGGATTCCTTCAACACCGTAGCAGAGATTACTGGGAGCAGGCACCCAGAACAGGTGAGTGAAGGAGAGGCTGCCTAGGAATAAGGTGTGCATGGTAAGTTTGAGTTATCAGAGAGAGTTTGGGAAGGAGCAGGTGAGACTGCAGAAGTGGTCTTCATAGACTCATTGAAAGCAGAAGCTTCCTGTGTATTTTTTTCTCGTCCCAAGTTTTACTACATTGACTGAAGAAGAGCAGGCCTAAACGAAGGGCAGAATGGAACCCATGATGAGGAAATTCAGTCGCTGAGCAGTTGAGAGTGTTATCTGTGCATACAGAGCTGTCTGGAAAGCATCCAATCATACATGTCTCTATTTTTCACACTATGTGGCTGGATACTTTCCAGACAGACCTGGTATATGTTATACTTATTCTACTGGTATCTGGTTGGTGTTTGAGATCAAACCAGTAATGAATACTTACTGTGCTCACTGTATGAGTTATCTTATTTGATCCTCTCAAGGTTCACTGAAGTAGGGTCCATTTTCTTCATTTTGCAGGTAAGAAAGGTAACCTGGAAGGAAACTCACCTGCCCAAGGTCCGCACAGCTAAATGACTGAGAAGGGACTTAAACTTGGGACTGTGTGAATATTAAATTAAGCTCTAAACCATGGTTTATGTGCAGTTTCCAGAGTTTTTTTTTTTTAATGGTGTTAGAGAGAGGTCCAAGCTCTACAGTTGCTGAATGTTAAGTGACATGACCAAGTTACTTATTCTCTGAGTCTTAAAGAACTTATCTGTAAAGAAAGGCATGGTATATATAATAGGATTATATAAGGATTAGATTAGATAATGCACATCAAATAACCTCAGACAGTGTTTGGCACGTCGCAGATGCTCCCTGAATATGAGTTTGCTTTGTGCAACATCAAGTGTGCAAAGAAGAGTTTTCATGGGGTTTCTGGTGCAAATCTGAAATCCTGAAAATAGAACTTAAAAGTGGAGTTATTCAGAAATTTCAGACTTGTATTTTGTTTGAAGGCTTCAGTGGGCTGAAGGAAAAAGTGAATGGTGATGACCTTTGATGACAGGGAAAAGATCTTCTGCACATGTCTTAACTCAGGACTTCTCCCAGGACGTAAGGGTTATGCTGCAGTAAAGATTTAAGTTCAGGACTCTTATCCCCAAATGGTGTGTTCCAAGGACCTGGGCATCATCAACACTGGGTCATGGCTATAGGGATAATGGAATAGCGAGAACGTGGTAGGACCACAGGGAGTAGGACAGCTGCTGAGAACAAATCACCCCAGCCCTTTGCCCCTGTAGGAAACTGTTAACAGTAGAACCAAGAAGCCGTATTCCAGGTATGGAATAATCAGAATCTTGAAAAGTGTAATTCTTTTCAGCTATTTCACCCTGTCAGTAATTCCAGAATTATGTTTTGTCTTCTTCAGTTACTATCCCAGGGTGTGGACGTTTAGGGTTATATACAATCAGTTGTCTGAGTGAGCAGGCTGATTGTGCCCTGAGGCTTTTTATGAATTTTGAAATATGTATATAGTAACATATCAGTACTGTAATCATAATACATAATATTTCTACCACACCTAAGATTCCCTGTGCCTCTTTGCAGTTCATTTCCCACTGCACCCTCCTGCCCCCTGGCTGCTACTGCTCTTTCTGGAACTATAGTTTCATCTTTTCTAGAATTTCATACATAAGCAGAATCCTATAATCTACAGTCATTCATGTCTGCCCCCTTTTACTCAGCATAGTACTTTTGAGATTTATCCATGTTGTATCAGTTGTTCCTTTATATCACTGAGGAATATTTCATTGTCTGGCTATACCACAATTTGTTTATCCATCAGCAGTTGATGGACATATGGGTGGTTTCTAGTTTTGTGTGTAAAGCTTCTGTGACTATTCTTACCCCAGTCTTTCTGTGGACTTACATTCTCCAGGAGAACGGTAGATGGGCAATTCCAGAGAGATCTCAGGACTCAAGATCCTCCCATTATAAAGGTTGGTCATAAATATCTTCTTACCAAGATATAAAGGGTAGAAGATTAACAAAAATTCTTCTACAAAGGAGTCACGTCATTACTTCCATAGGAGGAATATAAATGATCACAGAAAAGTCAAATCTGTGGCTGTGTTTTCTGAAGGAATCTGCCTTATGCTGGCCAGGAAGCACCAGGAACATAGAAACTGTGAAGGGAAAAGACAAGCATATAGTCTGCCCTTTAGCAGTTAGGTTGGTGAATGAACCTGATTAAGCACTTTCCTGAGTCCTGACAAATGCCACCCCTTCCATGAAGCCTCCTCTGGGAACCCTCCCCTCATCTGAACACTTTAGGCCACTGTTATGATGTCATCTCCTATCAGTGCTTGCAAATGCCCTAAAAAGCAGGAACTCTGTTTACTCCAGGACTTGACATGCAGTATATTTTCAACACTTTCTTTTTTTCTTTTTTAGTAGAATGAAGGCAGTAAGTAAAGAAGGAAATGGTTGGAGGATTTTGTTAATTTCTATCCTCTTTAAATCTAGAAGTCTTCCTGCCATTTTAGAAAATTGTCCATCAGTATATTGGACATCACCCCTGAATGTAGTGTCCAAACGTGAACACATCAGTTCTCTCAAACCCAATTCCTTGCCTTAGTTTCTTATGTCTGTTAATGAATCACATCTACCTATCAGCACAGTTACAAAACTTCAAGTTATATTTTATTCCCTCCTCTTTATCACTGTCCTACAATCAGGCAACATGTCCTATCCAGTCTACTTTCAGCATTTTTTTAATTTTTAATTTTATTTATTTATGTTATTTTTTCAAATTAATATGAGGATACAATTTTTAGGTTACATTGTTCTCACTTCCAGGATAAAGTTCCATTTGTAGAAGAGCCCCTCACCCAGGGGGTGTGTTATATACCCTCACACATACACAGGTGCACATTAGGTGAGATCCTGCCTCATGCCCTCCCTCCTTCTGCCAAACATCCTCCCCTCTTCACTCCTCCTGCTTCCCTCTACCCTCAAACTGGACTATATTGGTGTTTTATTGTTCTTATGGGCATGTAATTGTTTATATATTGATTTCACATTAGTATGGAATACATCGTATGTTTATTTTTCCTTTTTTGCAATAATTTACTATGTACCTAGAAGAACAAAAATCATTTGACTACAAAGACATTTGCACTAGAATGTTTATCACAGCTCAATTCATAATTGCCAAGTCATGGAAGCAACTTAAGTCCCCATCAACCAATGAATGAATCAATAAACTGTGGTATATGTACACCATGGACTATTATGTAGCCATTAAAAAAGATGGAGATTTTACATTTTTTACATTTACCAAGATGGAGGAGTTGAACTACTTTCAGCATATTTTTTAAAATTCTGTTTTCACGTTGCCTTTACTGCTATTACTGCCCTAATCCAGGCAGTCCTGATTTCCCTCCTGATTTTTTTTTTTTTTTTTTTTTTGTTCTTCTGGTCTCTCCTATACTGCATCCGTTCTTGGAATAAAGCTCAGTTATCTTTTAAAACATTGATCTCAACATGGTGTTTCCCTGCTTTGAAGTACCTCTCTCTCTATCTCTTTTTTTCTGTAAGAGGAAGGTTGTGATGAAGATGAATACTGGAGTGAGTGATCTAAGGTGAGCAGAAGACAGAGGAAATGAGACACAGAGGGAAGGGAGCATGGGACGGTTAGGTAGGAGGCAGTTTTAGTAAGAGGAAATGGTATAGTAACATTCATAAATGACAAAAAAATGAGAATAAAGGAAAAAAGGAAATGTATGATAGAGACATTTAGACATTTCCTTTCCCTGTAGAAAGGAAAGGTATGATAGAGATTTAAAGTCAACAAAGAACTGTTCTTTCATAGGCCAGTGAGGGAGTTCAGCTCTCCTAAACTATGACAAACTTTCCTAAAAATCATTCAACTTTTTATTTTTACTTTTTTTAAATTTCAAAATATTAAGAGGTTTCAAATGTTCTGTTACCTGGATAGCTTTTATAATGTTACTCATGTGCCTATCACCAGAATAGTGTTCTTTGTATCTATTTAGTAAATTTTTACCCGTCCCCTCATCCTTCTTTTTCTCCTTCATGATTTCCAATGACCTTACTGTGTGCCCATCAATTAGTTCCAAATTAGTAGAGAGTGTATGTGGTGTTTGTTTTTCCATTTCTAAGATACTTCACTTAGGTTAATGGTTTCTAGTTCCATCCACATTGTTGCAAAATAAATTAATCTATTTCTTTGTATGGAGGAGTAGTACTCCATGGTATAGTATACTACATTTTGTTAATCCACTCATAAGTTGATGGACAAGTTGATTCCACATCTTTGCAATTGTGAATTGTGCTGTAATAAATATCCAAGTGCAGGTGTCCTTTTGATAAAATGACTTCCTTTCCTTTGGATAGATATCCAGTATGGGGTTTCTGTGTTCAATGATAGGTCTGTATTTATTTATTTAGTAAATAAATAATAATAGCCATACTGTTTTATGGCTCTTAAAGCCATAAAAGAGTATTCCATACTGAGTAATAGCCATACTGTTTTACACAGAGTTTCTTACTAATTTGTAGTCCCTCCAACAGTGGATAAGTGTTCCTTTCTCTGCATCCACACCATCTATTGTTTCTTGACTTTTTAATAATGACTGTTCTGACAGGGGGAAGGTAATATGTATTGTGGTTTTAATTTGCATTTCTCTGATGATTAGGATGTTGAGCCTTTTTCCATATGTTTGTTGGCCATTTGTCTATTTTCTTTTGAAAAACTTCTATTAAGTCTTTTGTCCACTTTTTAAAGGGTTGTTTGGTTCTTTTTCTTGTTGATTTGTTTGAACACTTTATAGAATTTGGATGTTATAAGTATTTTCTCCTGTTCTATAGGTTGTCTGTTTACTCTATTGATTATTTCTTTTGCTGTGCAGAACTTTTTTAATTTAATCATGTCACATTTATTTATTTTTGCTGTTGCTGTAATTACCTTAGGGCCTTAGTTATAAATTATGTGCTTAATCTGATGCCTAGAAGAGTATTTACTATAG